ATCAAATCCATATGTAATTGCAATATTTTTGTATATATCTTTTTGCTACATTTCAATACATTTTTATATAATTCAATTTATAATAATATTTAAAATAAAATATACATTTATAATCATGCTTTCAATTTCCTCTTGAAGTTAAGATTTTTTATACTAATGATAAAAAATTATTTTCATAAATTTGTCATTATTTATTTTAGTTTTATAATTAATTTTAGATAAATTTAAACCTGATATAACTTTATCAATATTGAAGATATTAAAATTCTAATCCAAAATTCTTAAAGCACAAGTTATGATTTATTTATTTTATGGATTAAAATTTTTAATTTTATATATAAAAATTTTTTTTGCATTTTAAATTAGTTCTTTTTTTATTATAGCAAAATTCTTATTATAGAGATTCTGTACTTTGTAAAAATTTTAAAAATGTATATTTAAAAAGGAATTTTAAAGAGAATTTTTTATTGATATTTATATGTTTAAATTAATATAAGCATATATTTAGAGAGAAATATAAATATGCATTTTTAAAAAAATGATTATTTTTATTTATATTATCATTTTTATAATTATTACTAAACTTAAAATTTAATATAATATAAGATTAACTTGAAAAATATTATTTATTTATTACTATAATCATACTTAAAATAAAGTTTATCGCTATATTATACAACATTTTTAGAAATATTTTCTCTTTTTCTTTTCATTCATATTAATAAAATGACGCAAATAAGTACAAGAAATAAAGATACTGTGTATTTTGTTTATTCTTTTTACTTTCTAACGATATTTACTTCATTTTTTACTTTTATAAACAAATATTTGGTTAAAGTTTCATAGAGAATAATTACTAATAGGAAAGAGTTAACAATTACGTTCATTCTTATTTTGCTGATTATGTTTAAAACAGAATGGCTGCATAATAATTGGGTAGGGGTATCCGAAGTTTGGTGATATTCCGTTTGAAAAATTATTAAAAAGAAAAAAAAAAAAAAAAAAAATACAAAAATAAACAATGTATCTCATTATGACAAATAATAGCAAAAACCAAATCTAGTCAATTAATTAATACGCGTAATAATATCGTGGAACATTGATTGATAATCATTGATAATCATATATTTTTGGTGAACTTTGCGCAGTGTATCGGTTTCGGATACATTTTTTTTTACCGTCTTGGAACTCGGAGGTAAAATTGGCTAATTTGATAGACAAAAATTAAATTTTGTAAGAGTAACATTTTGATGCCGTGTTTTGGTTAATCTTTATGCGCCCCAACTTTAAAAAAAGTCAAAGTGGTTAAAAAAATTTTTTTTCTTATTATTGGTTTTTTGATTTACAATGATTTCACAATAAAATAAACATTCGACTCATTTTTTTCTATCTTCGCGATCTTAACCCACAAACTTTTATTTTTATATACGCGGTAAATTTATACGGTACAACCTTTTACTATTATTTATTTATTTATTTACTATTCTGATTTTTTTTATAAAAAGAGGAGATAAAAACCAAATTTATTTATAATTTCGAACTTTAGAATAGCAAAAATGCCAGGACGAATGCTATTTCGATATACTCGTGAAGAGGTGGCCAAACATAACACTGTTTCAGACCTTTGGGTTATTTATAACAACAAAGTTTATGATGTGACAGAGTTTGCGGTGGATCACCCGGGCGGACCAGAGCTAATTAGAAAGTGGGGAGGCAAAGACGTGACAAAAATTTTAGTTGACCCAATTTCACATGTACATTCAGACGTGGCATACGATGTTTTAGCAGACATGTGTATGGGGGAAATAGTAGAGGGACCTTCAACGGGCAATAATAACACACCTTTAAGTTTAATGGATAATAAAACCATGGACAACAAAAATTATTTTGACGAAAAAACGTTTGATCGATTTCAACCACAGAACACCGATATTAAATCTGATTTTCAAAAAGAGAAATTCCTTGACCTTAATAAACCATTGTTTGATCAGGTGGTGAATAGTAAATTTAGCAAAGAATTTTACCTTGAACAAATTCATCAACCACGTCATCTTCCGTATTCGGCGAGGTTGTTTGCGAATCCATGGTTAGAACTCTTAACAAAGACTCCATGGTATATGATTCCAATATTATGGATTCCGGCGGTATCATATCACTTATTCATGGCATCAGAGTTAGGATCAAAACTTATTACGATTTTCTTCATCATTGGTATCGGAGTTTGGACCTTTTTAGAATATGTACTTCATAGATATTTATTTCACATTGATTCACTTTTACCCGATCATCCTTACGCATTAACAGTGCATTTCGCTTTACATGGAATTCATCATTATTTGCCCATGGATAAGTAAGTTTTAAGTAAAGGAGAAATTTTTTGATGAGTTTAAACAACGTCTAGATCATGATCACTTACGTGTGCGTATTTTATTCTTTTAGTCTTCGTCTTGTAATGCCTCCGGTTCTTGGATTCACGATTGCGTGGCCAATCTCGCAATTAGCATATTTGATCTTTCCAATTGAAATTGCTCACGCTATAATGGCCGGTGCAAAGTTTGCTTATATAATTTACGATGTAACTCATTTTCATCTTCATCATTCTAGACCTTTTGGTAAACATTTGAGAGAGATGAAAACTTATCATTTAGCTCATCATTACAAGAATTATGAATTAGGCTATGGAATTTCAAGTAAAATGTGGGATTATGTGTTTGGAACAATTTTGGTTGAATGAGTTTATTTATACTACGGTTAGTAAAATTAATGAAAAGGAATAATTTAGTTGTAATCCCGATCATAATTTCTTTTTTATTTAGTAATAATATATTATTTCGTTATTATTTACCATGCAAGGCAATATTTTTTTATCATTTTCTTTTCGTTTTCTTGATTAAGTAAGATCTACGTTATTTTTATTGTATGAGCTAATAATAGATTTGTAACAATGTAAAAATAATAATTCTATAATTTCATATGACTATTGACTGCGGTACGCTATTAATCACATGATATACATTGTGACCCCACAGTAAATCTTTTTTTTTAAAAAATCATATGAAAATAAGTAATGTTTTGGGAGGGGCGTTTTTGAGTTCATAACATTTTTAAAAAAGGTTATCAAGTAATCTATTTACATACTTTCATTTTCTTTCTTTCCCATTTCTTCCTAACGTGATAATATCTTCTTCATTCTAATACCTTGCATTATCTATTAAATTTGACATTGTTTATTGTTTTCTTTTTTTTTATTGTTGAATACGTTTACGCCCAAGTACATTTACATTAGAAGCGCAGGTACTTTGTCAAAAGCGCGTTGAATGAATCGGAAAAATTTTACAAAATATTTTTCTAAAAAAATATTTGCTTAATAGGGAAGGATATGATGATGTTACGTAAGATCATCTGACTAGGTAGGAGAAAGTTATCTATTCATCTTTTTTTAAAAGAAAAAAGAAAAAAAAGAAAAAAAAAAAGAGATGAGAAGTAAGTTGTAGATTAAGTATTTATAAAGTAAGTAACATTGGCGTTTTTTTGATAAACATACTATATCATTATGGTGTTAATGGCTTTAGACACGAGTTGACCCATTATTTAGTTCGTATCATTTTAATCGTGGTAAAAAAAAAAAAAAAGTGGTTGATTTTAAAGATACGCGAATTTTTTTTTAATGATCGGTTGGGGGGTAAAACAACGTGCTTGTAGACATATGTTTAAATGTCATTGGTCAGAACGGAAAAATTCTTAACCAAAAGTTGTTACGAAAATAATGTACTCGATTTAGTAATGAAAATATTTGTCGGAATATTTTTTTTTTGTTGAGCGTGAGCGTGTGAAAGATATTAATCCTTAAGTAAATTATCACATTTGACAAAAACTCAAAAAACTTGAATTCCCTTTTCTTGTTTTCCACGATTGTTTAAATTCCTTTTTGAAAATTTTCTCAAACTAAAAAAAAGTTCTCAAGGTATAAAAAGATTTTTTCATTTGTATCATTTCTTTTTTCCTTTTTCGAAATTAATTTTCCTTTCAAATGTGATTATTTCCTTATTAACAGTCCCATTTAGACGGTTACCGAATTCCCATTAAAATGTCCCCTGATCCAACTAAATTAAAACGTGATAAAAATTTTTTTTCAGCCATCTTATATTCAATCCCCTTATCTCACTTTATCTAACTTGTTAATAATAAAAAAAAAAATCCCTTGTTAGGAATACTTGTTTTCTCGTCTTATGATCGTGTACAACTTTAAATCATTTTGCATTTTATATCATTTATATATATGATTGTAGATTCTTAAAAAGGAGGATTAACCATATACTTGAAGTATTTTGACGCTAAGACTCAATCATTTCTTTGTTCATAAAAAAAAAAAAAAAAAATAATAATTTCCAAAAAAAGATAAAGTGATGTTCATTACTTTATATTTATATATATATTGGTCATTATATTCAACAACGAAAAAAAAAAAAAAAAATTAAATATATATCTACTGCACTTTCACTACTTATTCCTTCATTCAAAACCTTGACATCCTTTTATTCTTCCCCTCTTTTTTATTTTTTTTCCTTTTGAATAAAGAAAAAGGACGTTCATGTTATAGTTATTTTCTTCTTTTAATAATTAAATTTATTAAAAAAATAGTCAAAAAAAAAAAAAAAAAAAGGACACGTTTGAAACAAATTATTATTTTTGGATTATAAATTGTACATATTTTTTTTTTTTTAAAAAAAAAAAACCTATAAGGCAAGTTATTGTTTGTACGCGGCCTTTTAAATATCATTTTGGAAAATTGTATACCTACGACCTATACTTTTCAAACTACCAAACGAAAGGCATCCAAAATCATCTGGTAAGCAATAAACTATTACCGAATTGTCGGATGTTTGATGTTCGATGTTCATGTTGTGTGCATAATTATATGGCACCGCGTATTTATTTGTTTGTTTTTTTTTTTTGACGATCATCTTTAAAAATTAAATTTTCGATTAGATATCCAAAAAATGCCGAGCGTAGATAATTCTCATGAAGAATCTCAATACGTTTCAACTCTGTTCACTTGGTCGCAATGGGGTGAACATGTTTGTATAGCTGGTTCATTTGATCCTCCAACACCAACATGGACTCCAATTGACATGCCAAAAAATTCAGATGGTGTTCACGAAGCAATTTTGAAGTTGTTACCAAATAAAAAATATTATTATAAATTTGTTATTGATGATAATTGGGTTTTGGATCCTACTTTAGATTCTTTCCCTGATGACCAAGGAAATTTTAATCATGAAATATGCGTGGATCCAGTTCCTGATGAAAAATCTTACGAGAAACCTGTTGCGGAGGATCCTCCTCGTAACGAGGAGGAAGTTCCAGATGTTCCAAAAGTGGTGGTTGAAGAAATTCATCTAAACGATGAGAAAGTTGGAGAATCAAACGTCACTGATGAAAATGATGAATTAACCAATGAACCCTTGGACAAACGGGAACCAACAGAAATAGTCATTTCACCCGAAATTGAAGAACCCTCTCCGGCCTCAATCATTAATGACGATGTTTCAAAAGAAACCATTAATGAACCTGTATCCACAGAATACGTCGCAATTGATAATTCTCCGGACCCAATCGTTGATGACGATGAATCAAAAGATGAACCTGTATCCGCAGAATACGTTGCAACTGAGATTCCTCCGGCCCCAATCGTTGACGACGATGTATCAAAATATGAACCTGTATCCGGAGAAAACGTCGCAACTGAGATTCCTCCGGCCCCAATCGTTGACGACGATGTATCAAAAGATGAACCTTTATCCGCAAAAAACGTCGCAATTGAAAATCTCCAATATATCGAATCACAAAATACTTCCAAACCTATCAAGATGAAAATTAACCCTGTTGACATTGATGAAGATGTCGAAGAAATAAATATTAGTCATAATTCGACTCTTGAACAAGAAAGGAAAGTGGGAACAGACGATAAAAAATCACCAAATATTCCGCCACAAGGAACTGTTCAAATTGAAGATTCTAAAATTTCGAAAAGTGAACCAGTTCCTGAAGTTGCTGATGAACAATCTAAATTAGATCCAGATTTCAAAAATGGATCTGATCTTGAATCTTTTCATAATGATTATGATGATTATGATAAAAATGATAATGGAAGTCCCGTTACACCAGCTTCAACGGTAGATCCAACTGAATTGGATATGTTCAATAATCTTACTTGGGCTAAAGATGATTTATCAGACGACGATGTTGATGTTTCTAGTTCTTGGTTAGAACCACCAATGGCAGATTACGTTGATCCACCTTCTACATGGGATCTAAATAAAAGTGAATCTGTTGTATGGGCTGAAGATTCTCCAGATTCTAACATTGAATGGCCAGATATCGTTCACGCTAAGCAAGAACAATTGGCAAGTTCCTGGAGGGATGAACTTCTCAAAAAGTCCGAGGAACACGCAAACGATGAGGGAATTCAATCACGTGAAGAAACTGCTTCTGAGCAGATAAAACATTCAAATGAGGCTTTGTTAAATGAAATTCCATCATCGACAAATATCAACGATAGTTTGAAGAATCTCACAGACTTGAATAATGAGAAGTCACCCGTAAATAGAACCTTTGTTGAAGAAAATAGTGAAAAGAAAAAGGTCCTTGAGTTCAAGGAGAGTGTTGTTGAACGTGAACACGATGTTTTGAAAAATAAACTAGTTATTAAAGAAAACATTACCTACGAGGACGTTTATACAACGTTTGAAAAACCAGAAAGTAGTGCTACAGCTTCTATGAAGATATCGTCAATACCCACAGTTGTTACAGCAGCACCAGTAATCGTAGATAACACAATGTCACAAGATAAACAACTTGATGACTATTTAGATCAAGGTATTGAAGAAGAAAACCGATCAAGAGAACAACATGATTTCGTTATTTCAAAGACGATCGAAGTACTGAAGAATTTAGAGCAAGAACCCCAATCAATCTCGAATGCTCCGGGTGCCAAGATAAGTCAACGTAAGATCATTTCGTTTTCACCAAATTCGTCACCTGGTGAATCAACGCGAAATGTTGATACATGTATTCAAAATATAGCTACCTTGTCATCACGAGGAATATCAACTCAAACCAAAGAAACCACCACCATAAAGTCCAAGTCAAAGAAACCTAAAGAGATGACAACTTCTCGAGAGATATCACAAAAAGATCCAATTTTAGCTGTCCAACGTAATGATATTGTAGATAGTGGGGGTGGTATTATTTATTTGGTTACATCATTAGCAACAACGTTTACTCTTGGAATAATTTCGATGCTATTTAAAGCCGTTTTTGGAAAGAAAAAGAATAAATAAGGGTGTGTGGCTTTAAGGCGTTGTCAAATTGATATTTTGAGAGTCTCGGGCAATCTTTCTTTTTCAAAGAAAAAAAAAATAATGATTTTTTCTTTATGGATTTGTTCGTTGACGAGAATATATTTATTGATATTTGAACTGTGTACAAAATGATTTTGAAATTTTTTTTGCATGTATATTTTTAAACTTACGTCTTTTACATTTATCGCACTTTTTTTTTTTAAATAAACATCCCCAATTCAAAGTTTTATTTATTATATTTTTAAACATTGTTTACATATTTCCTTGGAGAGATTTTATCTTTATTCTTAAACATTTGATTGGTTATGAATTAATCGATTTTTATTCTTATCCTTCAATCATTTTACATAATCTGTGATTTAATATGTAAGATCTTATTTCTTTTTTCTTCTTTTTTTTTTTTTTAAAAAAAAAACCTCATTTTTTACTTCGCAAGGTGATAACCTTTTTTTGCATTCATCATCGACAAATCAGGATATTTTTTTGAAAGATTTGAGTAAGAGCATATCTGTTAGGACCCGAAGGATTTAGCATTATTCCTGAATTGGGCGAAGTCGGGAACTATTTTCATGAGTTAAAAATGACTTTCTTGGATTCACTTTCAATAATTAGGTTTTTTCGGATTAATTTTTTTAGTAAATTGAACATGGATAGTTTAAATTTTTAAGAATTTGTGGTTTTTTTTTTTTTTTTTTTTTATTTTCATTAAACTACTTTCTTTAAGGGTTGTAATTGTAGTCCAATGATAATATTTTGAACGAATTAGGAACAGATCTTTTGATTAATTATTAAAATTAAATCAAACCAACCTTACATTTTTTAAGACTTGTTTACCTAATAATAAAATTAAATAAACAACTATCTAGTATGTGAATAATCATTACGGAATTAAAAATCTGATCAGAATTTTACAAATCTAAAAGTGAAATTTAAGAAGTTAAAATGTTAAAGGTAAAATAAAAGAGAGTTTTTAGTAAAAGTTATGTTTTATTTTAATTCAATTTAAGGGAAATAATAAATATTTAAAAGAAAGATAATAGAATATTTTTATTCTTATTTGTATTTTTTTTTTATTGAATTAGTTATTTTGAAGGAAAATATTAGTGAATAGTCAATACAAATAAACTTAAAATAAAGTTATAGGATTTTCTAAAATGGTATTTTTTATAAATCTTTTAAAATTATAAATTTTTAATAAATATATATTATTAAATTACAAAAAATAATCTTTTTTGAATATATTACTTTTAAGTTATATTTTAAGTTTATCTAAAAATAAAATAAAAAATTTTATTATATTTGATTTTTTAGATATATAAAATAAAATTTACAAAAACTTGTTAAATATTTTATAATTTTATTAGAAGAATTATATATTAAAAAAATCAAGAATGAATTAAATTAATAAGTTAATATATATTAAAGTAAAATTAAGATATTTAAAAATGTTCTATTTATTAAACTTTAAAATTTATAATAAGTAATAAATATGTTTTATATGTAATGCTAGATTATTGATGCAATCTACTCTTGATATAATGAATTTTAATATAACGAATTATGTAATACTTGATCAATTAAATATGTCAATTTTCTCTCTTTATAACAAAGTAACCAATTAAATCCTTCAAATTTTTTACTAATTTGCTATAACAAATTTGAGATGCAGAATAGCTACTTTGCTATATTAAAGGTAGACTGTAGTAGTTAAAATAACTTATAACCTAATGAATTATTTAAGATTATAAATATAATAAAAACTGACTATTTTTTTATATTTTTAAATTAAATAATCATAATTTTAATATAAATTTTTAATATTATAAAATAATTAAATTTAGAAAGAAAATATTAATATATCATAAATATTTGTTTTCAATTTAATAGATATTAATCTAAATTAATTATCAATATTTAGAAAGTTTTGAACATATTAATAAGATATCTGATATTAAATAAAGTGATTATAAGTAAATTGTAATTATTTATAATAAAATATTTTATCATTACATAAAAATTAAAAAAGATTTTTCTTAGCTTATATTATTAATTTTGATACTTTTATAAAGAAATAAAAGTATTGAAAATATTTGTTAAACTAAATTAAAATATTAATATGAAATATTTTATTTAATGTTAAGATTAATACTATATATTTTTAAAAATAAACATTCCTTTATAAATAAGCATCACTTAATTTCTATATTATCTAATGTCACCAGTTTCATTTTTGGTTATCTTAATGTTTAAATTAAAAGGCTATAGCAGTTGATTCTACATATTAGAATTTTTAACCTTAGAATTTTTTTTAAGTTTTACAGGTATTTGATACTTGAATCAACTCAGCAATTTATTATATCTTAAAATTTAAGATATATTTAATCAAACTTATAATAACAAACTAAATAACAAGTTAGTGTAAGGTATCACAACAAATCCTAAATAAGAAATAACATTAAAGAAAAAGTAAATTTGTATGATTTAAATTGATTTCTTTATTTATAATACTGAAACTCATTCAAACTTGCAAATAAGTTAATTTACAACTTAAACAAAAAGCTATTCTATTTATATAAAATGAATTTGTTACAGCTAACTACTTGCTATATTATAAATTA